TTAGATATGAACGCTTTTGCTTTTAATGAAGGCAAATGAAGAAGAACAAGCGACATGACGGCGGCATGGCGGGGGCTCCTAATTAAATAAGTAACAAGAAACGTTCCCGTTCAAAAACATAAGCTGACGACAATCTAATTACTTGTGACCTTCGATAGGATTGACGCAGATGTCATTTAACTCCTTTACAATTAAACATTGATTATATGCGGTTAAAAAATGTTATTTTTTCTGTACAAACCAAAGTACAGCTGAAAAGATCAAATTATATTGGCGATATAAACGGTCCGCGCCCAAATATGTGCTTTAACATTAACATATCGCACTATTAATGGAATAATGTATTGACCCAAAAAGTGTATTTTTTCACTACTTCCCGTGAAAAATTATTAAAATTTATGTATAAAATTAAGTTTATTACAGACATCTAAACAATTTCATGCTTTCCAAGTATATTTAAAAATAAAAGGGAAAATATAATTACTCATTTATGAGGAAGGACTATTTTGTCCAGAACTAGCTCACATAAATTTTGTCTTATTTTGACTTAAGGAAATATCTACTAATAGCTTCTTACAATATTCTTTCGACGGTTTTATTGACGTATAGAAAATCAAATTTTCAGCTATGGTATAATCTTGAAATTCACGTATTTTGAGTTACAACACTGTTGTAGTAGTGGGACAGCTCCTTGTGAAAGAGTTGGTCCAGGGAAGTGTCACCGCACCTATTTCTGCTGCCAAGCAGTAATGTGAGCATTACTGCGTTCCAGTTTTGAAGGGTAAGGGGTGCTGGTGAAATTACAGGCACATGGGATTTGATTGTCTACTTGTATTTCAGGGTGACAGGAGCAGTGGCAGTGCCTTTCAGGTCTTTGCGATTTAAAGCTCTGAGTGGCACTGCAACTGTTATGAACAGGCTTGTAGCTTACCACCAGGCACACTACTTGTTCGTCCCGTCACTTGACATTATAAGAAAAAAAAAACGTGTCACATGACACTTTCACATAGTTTAAGATTAGTTGAAAGATTAATAAATTTGACACATTCCACTTTCCAATTTGAACACACTTGCCATTATAAAATCGATCCTAATGCAAAGATACCCAGTTATTCACCTTATTTGATAAATCAATTTTCTCACTTGACAGCCCTACGAGTTGGTACCCCTACAATATTTACCACTAGTAGTGTTTAACAGTAGGCGCGAAAACCTATTACGCACGGGTAGTATACTTTGTTTCAATCCATTTTAAACAAAAAGTAAACAAACAAGCCACTGACCCGACTATAGACGGCTTAGTGATGGCCAATTGTAATGCCAACTACAAATCGATTAATTAATTGAATGAATCGATTTGTTCAATTGAGTCATACTAGCGATTTTCCTTACATAAACTTTATAAGCATATTTAAAATTTCAATTTAAATTCTACTTCAAATCCTTACACTTAGATACTCGTTCGATTGCGTTTGAAACATTCGATTTAATAATCGATTACTAAACTTTAATTGATTGAACCGAATGTTTTTTTTCGAACGGCACTATGCAACTATACACAAGTCATAGAAGTATAGACGAAAAAATGACCTCACTTTTGGACTACCATTTTTCAATTACGATTTTACTATGCTATTCAAATAAACATTGTTGGAAAAGTGATGAGATATCAAGTCGAAATCTTCAAAATATACGTGGAAGTGTTACTTATTCGATTTATTTGACTGGTTGCTTTAGAATTTTAACCAAACAGTTTCGTTTACCTTTTGTTCAAAATGGATTGGAACAGACTTTAGTGCGTTTGCTTTAAGACATTCGTAGCTAGAGATTATAAAAGCATTACCACTTGGACATTACAATTATAACATATGTGTTTTCAGATTCCATAGTGGGAAAACCCTGACAGCGTAAACGTTCGCATAGATCTGAAGCTAGTTTGGAAAAACACTGGATGCAGTTCTACCAATTAACTATTGTTATGATACCACGAGCTGCATTACACTGACTGATAACTTTAAAATTTAACTAGCTATTGCCCGTCACTTCATTTGCGTAAAACTTTTACATGCATTTGTTAGCAGTACTAAATGAAAAATAATATATAATAAAATAATATATTAAATTAACGTGTTAATTTTATTAATTAATTATATTAACGTGTTTATATATATATATATATATATATACATTAATTAAATACCAAGTAACGGGACGAATAAGTCCTGCGGCTGGTGGTAAGTGACACGCCTATCCATAGCAGTGCCACTCAGAGCTTTAAATCGCAAAGATCTTAGGTGCACTGCCACTGCGCCCATCACCCTGAGACATAAATTGACCAGTCCCATGTGCCTGTACTTTCACCAGTACCCTTAACCTTCAAAACCGGAACGCAGTAATGCTCACATTACTGCGTGGTGGTAGAAATAGCTAAGGTGCCAGTACTTTCCTGGACGAACTCTTTCACATAATATGGACAGTATAGACTAAATCTAGGAGTATTAATATGGTAATGTGGATGGATGTAGTAGAATAACAGAACTTTATAAAGTGAATGTAGATGGACGCGTGGAAAATGGTGACTTCGATGTGTATAAGATGTCCTTAAAAAGGTTACTTAATATGAACAAACAATTCTGTATAAAATTACTTAAGCGAATAAATACGAAAAAGATTTGTTAAAAATGGTGCTCTCTATCTACTGCACTGAGAACCAAAGTCATAATAATAACGCACACATTCAACATAGCCCCGCACTAGGGAAACCCTGTGTCGCGGGTACCATGGACACATACAAAGACAACCACAAATTACACCCAAACTCACGAGAGAAATAAATGTAGGCACACGCTGCGCAAAGTATATAAACGTTTTTAACTTATTTTTGTACAACAAATGAGCTATACAGGAAAAAAGTTATTTAAGTTTATGTTACACTGTGTTGTTCTCCATAGCTTTTTTAATATAATAAATATACATAGCATTATTGAAAACAAAATTTTGTTTTAGCAATAATGCACCATTATATGGTATTTGTTTATACATGTACAAAGACAGATACTTTAACCTATTAGATAGGTAACTGACGTCTGTAGCCATTTGCGATACTACGGAAGAACATTTATTGTCTCAAATGTCTTGGCGACAGAGAGACATCAGTTCTCAAGCCCCCTGTGTCTGCGATTGCAATGATTCTCCCTACATTTTAACATAGAACTTGCTTTTGGTACACAGGTACAAATAGATAAGGTGGTTCATAAATAAAAATAGCTTAAACAGCTTACTTAATGCCAGAATCGGTACGTATTACGATATTGTAAATCCATTTATATACACATGAAATAATATTGTTATCTTTTTTGCAAAGATAAAATAAGCTGCATTAACATGTACCCTTTATTAAAAATATTTTCGTAAGCACGTATTGTATGCCTACAATAATATGTACGTCAGTGGAGAGTATACTTTATCTCATTTGGGTACTTAACAATGTCGTCTCTTTTACTAAATGTGGTATGATCATTTATCAAGAAAAATTTCATTATTAAAAATAACTTAGTAAAACTAAAATGTAACAGAAAAATTTGTTTACAAAAATAAAATAATGATAATTGAAAAATAAAACGCGAATCTAGAACTTAACATTCTAGAAAAAATAATCAGAGATTAAGTAGGTAGTTAACGTAAATTCAATCTTCATGTCTTGTTTTCCAATATGTACGTAAGAGTAAAGGTGGTTCAGTTAAGTACAAAATAAAGTTTAAATGGTTTAAAATGGTTTAAAGTTTACATTTCACAAAAAGGTTTTTACATAAAATGTTCTCATATTTTCCACTTCAATTTTTCTTCGTTTGCTTACCACGAGTTCGTTTTATAATTTGAATTTTAACATTGAAACAATGAAAACCTTCTACATACTAACGGCCGAGATGTTATATCTTCACAATAATATGTTATTCATTAAATAATACAGTAATTAAAGGATACAAGTAGCAGCTTACAATTAGCGTGAATGAATCGCTAGCGATGTACCACCTCTAATGAGCCACTTGCTAATTAGGGAATGAACAAGCCGGTTACAGGATTCTAATTGGCTTCTGGGAGAACGCGACCGCTATGAAAATTATTCGCTTATTTACGTGGGTTTCACCGGGATAATTTTTAATTTATATAAAGAGAAATGTGTCTAGTTGTAAACTTCATTTAATTTAAAATATAGCAATAACTGTCAATTACATAGATTCACAATGTGATGAGAATTAAATGTATTGTACAAATTAAAATTATATTCCATTATTATAATAAAATAATAAACAGAAACGTTATATACACAAGTACATGTAACAATATACATGTATATAGATGTGATATGTTTTTAGGAACCAATTAGTTATAATTGCAAAGCACATCATAATTTTGAAAAAGTTAAAGATATACCTACAATTTAATTTTAATTGACAAGATTTCAAATGGGGAGCGATGTTTTTCCGCTCTAATGAGGCAGCACCTAATTAGTTCGTGTTAAACTCGGCTAAAGGATTTTTAAAAGTTGTTATAACACAAAGTTTTTCGTGTCTGATTACACTTGAAATGAATATAATCAGGTTAAATGTAATTAAAATTAAAAGTAATAAAACCTTCTTTATGGAGATATTTTGTAGAAATGATGACTAATTATTTAATTTTATTTATATAAAAATTATTTCACAGCCATTTACGAGATTAATCAAAATTAGTACTATTATTAAAACAAAACATTTGTAGAGTTACAATTTAATAAATAAAATTCATTCATTGTTATTATAGCGATAAGAATCGTTTGTAACTCAGGCAATTATTTTGATACCGTGGCCGTAACAATCTTCTGAGTGTTTTAATAGTTTTCAAAGAATATTAGTGTCTATGTGGTGGAGATCATTAAGCGGGCTCTTCAAAGCTGTCGCCGCATTACACTAATTGACTCAATTAGAGGGATTGCCGAACGGAAATAAAAGTCGGCTCACCTTCATGAAACGCCGGCCCCGCTAATTAGCCTAGCAACTCGTAATTAGCCTCTTCAGAACACTCTCACGGCTGACTAGTCTTTCAACACGACAACAAAATATCACAACACAAAAAAATTTTGTTCATTTTTTGTGGGTTCGGAAAGAATGTTGTCACAACACAAAAAAGTTTTTCGCGATCGCGAGTTAAGCAGCGGCTCGTAGGCACGGAAACGTGCTTTCGAACGCAGCGCTGGAGAGCGAATGAGCCGCCACGCCGGGTATTTAGGCGGGGAGTGAAGTCTCTCCTTTTCTAGTATGAAAGCTCTACCATTGCGGAGCTTTTCGCGCAAAACCGACCTTTCAGTTACGACCTTTCTCTGCTGTAGCGACGCTTAATGCTGTAAGTGGACAGATTTTGTGCGGCATTGCATTTAGGCCTAAATAAAAGCGATTCTGAATCAAATTACAATCGAACGATTGCTTTTTAACTATTTTGTAAGCCGTATGATTTAAGAGAATATAAAAAAATATGTACTAGTAGGTTTAATTATTTCGTTCTATTGTATAATATTAATATTTTTTTTTACTTCAACTATTAATTACACTTTTTATGATTCTACATTTTGTTATATACTAAATTGTTTATAATTAAACTTACATGCTACATATTGACATATATGTGTGAAATATAATATGAATTAAAATATTAAAGAAAATTAAGCTGAACAATATCACAATTGGAAATGGGGATGCAGAGACTAGGCCATACATCATTGATAAAACTAGTTGGCGACACCTCATTCATTGCATTGTAGTGCTGTACAGGTCGGAGGGTCAGCCCTAACCTGAACAAAAATGCATTGCCAACCCTATTTGGGTGCGTGTTCATTATACTATATGGCGATACCATTCTTACCTAATTTTCGGTAAATAATATTAGTGCAAAGCTTGAATAGTTCTAACTCTCGCTGCGTTACAAAAGATAAAAGCCATTTATTTAGAAATATTGTTTTGTTTAAAAATTATGTTTTTACACTTTATCAACTGATACAGAACATAATTTGTTTTTAATTCAAAACGGATTAAACATTGATATAAACTGTAGTTTCTATTAAATTATAATCTGTAATTATAATCTGTAGTTCCTATTAAACCTTTAAATATTAAAATTTTTGCCAACCTCTGTTGGCCAACGGTCAGCATTGTAGACACGGTATGAAGACGTCCCGGATTTGATTCCCGGTCAATTTGAGAAATTATTTTTTCTAAATTGGTACAGTCCGGGTATTCTGAGTATTGGACCGGAGCGATTTCTGTTGCTCTGGTACTCGTTATACAGTGAATTATCTTGTATGAGATCAGATAACTAGAATAATTGTCTTGTAACTTATTATTAAATGGTTATACCGTCGGTCTATATACATGAGGGTACATCAGATGCCTGTATGTTTGAGGGGTAAGCAGATAATACGGAATTTCCCTTTCTACGATCCTTATTATGCATTTTTTGCTTCCTCTCCTTTCCGTTACACCTTAATGTTTCAAACACATTTGGTTGCCATACCAAAGAGACCAACGGATTAACATTGCTATTGAGGGCATTGGTCTTAATTTGTTAAGGTACGAAAGATTAAAAAAGATTAACAAACAATAAGCCCCAAATACTCTAAAGCAGGTTTCAAAGTGATAATTATAGATAATCGTCAACATAATTATCTTGATTTTTATAAAGTTAATTGAAACAACATAATGCTACCGGTAGCAGTGTCATGCTATGTGTTTGTTTCCGAAAGTATCAAATGTCATGCCAACAAAATCACAAACCGAATCGTTTTCTCAAAAATTTTTCTTCGTGTTTATTTAGAATTCTCACTGTTTGTCACTTTTACTAAAAAATTAAAGCAATGAAAGTATGAATCAGTATGGACAATTATCGGATATGTATCGGATAATCATCATGATAAATATCAAATAATATAATTTGATAATTTTAAAGCCTGCTGTAAAGTAGACGAAGATTGAACCAAGTGACAGAAAGCTACAATTTCTCATCTAAACGCATTATCGACACTGTATATTCAAATTTGAACTTTTCATGTAGTTATTCTTATGTGTCTGGCCGAATTTTGTATTATTTCCTAGGAAAATGGAAACGTAGCCAGCAATAAAAAAATGTTGTTCCGTTCAGATCACCGTCTTGTTAGCCATCTAATTCTTATGCACTCTTGCGCCGATTCAATTAAGTCCATAGCAAAGGGGTGCCACAAAGAATGATTTATAGTCAGCCAGCATAATAGTTTTTAATTATTTCAAGAAGGTATACTTTATTTGGGTAAAAAACGTACGATAACAGGATTTTCTTTATATAATTTAATTGTCCGGTACATCATAATGTCGTAAAACTATTCTGAATAGTTTTCGTGTGTAAGAATTTACTGAATAAATCTCAAAGGCGATTGCATAGTGCGGTAAAGAATCCAAGTAAAGTATTTTTGATTAATTTTTAAATTATCGTCATTGACTGCCTCCGTGGCCGAACGGTTGCCACGCAGAGCTCACAGGTTCGATTCCCGGGTCGGGAGAAATATTTGTATGGCCTACATTTATTTCTCACGTGAGTTTGGGTGTAATTTGTGGTTGTCTATGCGTGTGTCCATGGCACCCGCGACCCAGGGTTTCCCTAGTGCGGGGCCATGTTGAATGTGTGCGTGTGCGTTATTGATCATTCATAGAATCAACAATGGCCGTAAAGTGAACAATTTCAAATGTGTAGATGAATAAGCTAAATTCCTAAACGAAACGAATGCGTGGCGTTTCTGTATCAATTTGCGATCTATTCAATATAAACCCTGCAAAAAATAGGGGTGTTTTTCATGAGGTTGCTATTTGAATTTTTGTCGATAATTTTGCCGAATTCTTTTAAATTCCCACTTTTTAGTGCCTCTAAAGAGGATCTACTAATGTGGTGAATAATGTAAAAACTTACTAAGTAAAGGAAAAGTTGTAAAGTTTAACACAGGTGTTCATTATTTCATTGTATTAATAGTGTGTTTATTTTTCCTAATTACAAATTTACTGGAGAAACAAGGCAACGAAAATAAAACAAAGGAATAATATACATTAACAGCTTAAATACTAGAATAGCCCTTGATTAATGATTTAAATTGGATCCTCGCGGCATGTATACAATGTTACTTGTTATTAATCAGAAATGTTTATTACATCTGAATGTTTTTACTCTTTTTTAGCTTACGGCATTCCGCCATTACTTACATAATCTAAATATAGCAAGAAAAAATAAAACGTGAGCTAAAAAAAGGTTTATATTCGATCTTTATTCACATGTTAAAAATACTAAATAAAGAAAATATTATTTTACCATAACGTATAAATATTGGAATAAACCCACAGCAAATATTTTATACGACTATAATAATTGTTTTTAAATATAGTTTATAAGCTCCATATTGTGGTAATATAATACGCAACTATTCATTATGAGTAAATTATCTAAATTAACACGACACATCACGACACAAACGTATCTGCTTACAAGCGCGCTAATCAGTGTCTCCTTGCTTTTAAAGTAATATGTTATTAGCTCTTGTTTCTACAGTGCTCTACTAATTCATAAATTCACGGGGGCAATTTGAGAAATTACTTGTACGTGGATGTCACTATCTATTATTTTAATTGATTTTATTACATTTGTTGAACAAATATTTAAATTGTTGTCGTAGATTATTGACGGTCTTTTCGTTATACCTGTGTATTTGACCCTAAACTAAACCTCTTAGTTAGGATAAGTAATTTAAAGAATAATTAAGCTATTTTTGTAGAATATATAATATTTCTAAGATTTTCCCGTATTCGCTTAATTTCTGTGTTAATACCAAAACGTGGGTAATTCTATGTAATTAACAGTCAGAAAACATAGCTTGTATGAACTCAGCAGTCATTTGTCTATTAAATCCTAGGTGTCATGTCATATCAACGTCACTTACGTCGTACCAGACGTGTAGCGGCCATTGATACAAATATCGATAAATCACTCGGACAGCCCTACGATCCACCGACGGCCTACATTGACGCATTTATTTTCTATACGCTTATAATTTATTGCCGTGTAACTCGAAACATGCTCGCTCACAAATCAACGCAGCTTTTACGCGTTTTCAGCGACATTTTGTGAGCTACTCACTCGGAAGCCCCTTGCTCTAGGCGTCTTGAAGGGTTAATATGAAAAGACCTTTTACATTGCGACCAAACTCACTTTACCGACGGTAAAGTGAACTCTATAGATTCAAATTCTAATCGACCTAAAGATAGAGTTTAAAATCGTGTATTCTATTTATATGAAAGTGATTTAGGTTCTCCCCTTCACAGAATCAACCTGATTTTGTTTGAATAGCTCATAATTCTCATTTCCTCGTATTATAGTAACAAAAGTACAAACAGAACCTGTTTCTATTTTCATGCGCTCTTTATTAAATTGTGAACAAAACATTTGGCTCTTGTAATGGCTTACTGTACTTTAAATGAAGAGTCAGTCACGAGTAGAGCATGGATAATAGTTCCACTTATAATTGAGAAATCTGTAATTATGTGCTCCATTATAAAAAACAAGTTTTAATGCTGCTCGAGTTAACGTAACAACTCTGAATTTATTCGAATTCATTTATGGATATTAATTCCTATTATCTTTGTTTGTCGATAAAAGTTGATTGATAATGTAATAATATTTATAAATACGTACTAACACTATTGTTGTATAGTATACACATTGGCATTGAACATTAGCAGTGTAGACACTAATTTTGAAGTCAATAAATTGTGTGACTGTTATTAAATAGATCATTCGATTTCGTATTGAATAGTAAAAACTTAAATTCAAAACACTCTATTTTTGTTAAAAAAAAAACTAAATCACGTTCTAACGATTTAAGCTGCTTATCCGCAAAAAATCGGCTCAGCGTTTCCGTCGGCTTTCATTGAATTCGACTTTAACCAATTAATCACTCTTATCAGTGGTTCCTTGAGTTTTTCGGAGGGATCTGACCATTGATCCTTTGTGGGGTAAACGGTCTATTGTTGGTTGCAGTTTGCGGCTATTGTGGTGCCGTGAGCGATGGTGCGACGCTACTGAACTGCGTAAGCTGACGATTAGTCTATGCCACATTTGAGCCGCGATCGTGTAATTCCCCTACGATGTAATTGATATGTATCGCTGTTGATGCCTATTGATTTTACGTAGCAGCCGTAGATAATACA